CAACATCGTGTTTCGTATTTCGCGCCAAGCTTTTTTTATCGCTTGCGCGCGCCGACGTGAACGTGCCCACTAAAACGTGTTTCGCGTGTTTCGAAGAAAAGCGACTGCACACTGTGTTCCGCGTACGAAAAAAAAAGAAAAAAAAAAAAAAAAAATGGAAAAGATACGCACGTATCGATAGATCGAAGACTGTACGTGTACGTGTGTACGCGCGCGCGCGCGTGTGTGTGTGTCTGTCACGCATGCGCGCGAAGGTGAAGACGATCCGTGCCAGAGCAAAGGGTGAACGTTTAACAAAAAAAAAAAAGAAAAAAGAAAAAAGAAAAAACGAGAAAAAATGAAGAGGAAAATTTCGTTTAGTCGAGATCGCGCGACTAGTTCTGGCACGGATCAAACGATCCGAAATTTCGTCTACGGGGGGAGCAGGGGTGGTAAGGGGGAGGTTGGTAACGACACGAGTGTATCGATATAGAAGGAGACGTCCCGCGAGATTCAATTTGGCGGAACGCCGCGCATTCTCGAGTCAACGATTAGAAAAATTTGTCTAGAAAAATCTCGATCTCGATTTCTCGCCCAAATACTCGGTTTTTCGCGGTCGAGTATCGGAACAATACTACTTTCTATATAATATATATTAATATATATATCATATGTATATCAATATATATAATATATATATATATACTTTTGTTTTAATTATCAATTGATTTAGGTGAATTGGTACCTAGATAAGTTTTTCACTACGATTATATCGATCGATTAGTGGGGAGAACGTGTCCGTGCACGAACGAGATCGTGTTGTCTAAGTGTGTTGGTCTCGTAATCGTGTGTCGGTGTGTGTCACGAGCTCGCGCGGGGCCGCGCGCGAATGCGCCTTCGAACGCGTATCGTTTCGTGCTCGTTTACGGGATGCAAATTTTCACCTAGTATGTATATATATATATATATATATGAGCCACGGTAACTTTGTAGCCGAGCGCTGTCGCGCTAATCAAAGATCTTCCTATTCCTTCGAAGCCGTTTCCCGTCTCTCTCTCTCTCTCTCTCTCTGTTTCGACCGACGAAATTCTTCGCCAACCCTCTCTCTTTACGTTTCTTCCCGTCGTTCCATTCGATTCGCGACAACCTCGAAAAAGCTCAACGCACATACAGACACGGTCTAAACTAAAATACGTCGCGATCTTCCCATGGAAACACCTGCAGCATTGCGACGACCATCAAACTAATGGAAAAATAAAGTTGAGTTTCTACCGCGTGTTTTCTCGTCGCGCTGCGATCGAAAGTCAAGGTACAAAACGGAATTAGGGTTGTGATCGGGCAGGGGGGAGAGTGGGAGTGGGTCAAGCGAATCGTCGAGTCGAACGTCTCACCCTCGGTGTCTTCGAAGTCATTGGAAAACCAATGTGTCGACGTACCGCGCCATATATACGCACACATATACGCTGCATTTGGTATATGCGTTGTTTTCTTTTTTTTTTTCTTTTCTGTGTTTTTCTCATTTTTAATTAAATTTATCCGTGAGATAGCGACGCTGCCGAGGCGCGTGAACACGCGGCGCGATTCGCCGGTTTCGTGTCGCCGCGTTTCATCGCTCCTCGTCCACGCGAGAACGGTGCCGAGCGTCGACGAAAATTACGCTAACTAATGCTCTCTTCCCTTCCTTTGTCCATTTTGTTTCGGTCAAAACTGTTTCGCGCCCCTTCGTTCGCGCGACACTTCACGTTCGAAGTATTGTCTACCCGGAGATTGATTTCGGATAAATACTTTTCTCTCTCTCTCTCTCTCTCTCTCTCTCTCTCTCTCTCTCTCTAGATCAACGTAAAACACAGACGGATGTTTTTACACGTTAAATTGGATGAACCAAACTCGTGTTCGAGCAAGCGTCGTGAATAATAATTCGCATGAACGAAGGGACGGAGGATCGTCATTAACGTGGCTCATCTCTCCGTCAACTTTGTCTCTCTCTCTCTCTCTCTCTCTCTCTCTCTCTCTCTCTCTCTCTCTCTCTCATGCGCTTTTCTTTCTATCACACATTACATACATACATACATACATACACATGTGTGTGCAGGCAATCGATTACTCACCCTCTTTCTCTTGTTCGCAACTCTCGCACACACTCGTTTTCTACTCGTCAGCCGCGGTTCTCTCGCTCTGTTCTCTCACGCGGATATCTCGTACCTCGTGTGGATCCTAGACGTCACCTAATCTATTGGCGACACGTATATACAAAAAGAGTACCAAAAAAATAAATATATATGTAAATATATATATGTATATATAGATGTGGAAATTACTTTTGTTTATATTCATTCCTCGTTACTAAACGTACGCAGGCGGTACGCATCGGTTAATCCACCATCATTTCTTACCGATTTGTTCTCGGATGACTAAAAGTTGTGTGATACCGTACGTGTGTGTGTGTGTGTGTGTGTGTGTGTGTCTGTCTGTGTTTGTGTGTGTGTATGTTTTTTTTTCCTTTACGAATGCGTAACACGCGAAAGCGTGTCGTTAAAGATACTCGTCGTGCGAGGTTAATCTACGAGCTTATGGTTTCAACTGACGGTGCTGCTACGTATAAAACGTCCATCTATTAAGCGGAACACATAACGTTTGCATACTGATATCCGCGCCAAGCGTCGTCTCTCCGCCGTTTTCGATCGTCGCTCGAGCAAACCAAAATCCGCGTCAACTCTCTCCCCACTTCCCCCTTTTTCTTTTTCTTTTTCTTTTTCTTCTTCTTCCTCTCCTTCTTCGAAAACGAAATACGAACACTTGCTCGTTCACGTTTCGAGATCGCGCGGAGAAGAATCGAAAACGGTTCTACGGTCGGGGAAAGCGTAAAGCGAAAGTTCACGCGCTTCGAGGGGGGGGAGAGTTGGAAACGACGCGCGGCGCGGAGCAATTTTTTTTTTTCTTTTTTTTTTTTCACCACCGAGAAAAATTCCTCTGTTCCTCCTTCGAAGAATTAAAACTTATTTTAGTTTATTTAGTAACGCGTCTCCGTCGAGATGAGATTTCATTTGAACTACGTCGATTGCATCAATTTGCGTTTGATTATATACATCGAGCGAAGAAATTCGTTTAGGATTAAGAAAAAACGTGCATCGCGACAGCCGTTTCAACGCGGGATCGTATCGGTACCAAGAAGGATCGGTAGAATCTACACAAAAACAGGAGAAACCCTTCTCGTGCAGTTCTCTTTCTCTCTTCGTGCTCTCTTTCTCTCTTTTTATTATTATTATTATTATCATTATCCTATCGATTTAGCGTTTCTGGTTTCTCGCGCGACATCCTTGCACGCATCCCCCCTTCGAATATATCTCCTACGTAATATATTTATTCGGACGTAATAGAAGAGTAATTTGCTAGGAGCTCGGTCAGCTACGTCTCTTCATCCGTTCGAGAAAATTGTAACGTAGATGTAACGTAGATGAACATCGTGTCTGTGTGTTATTTATAGTCCGCTCTGGAATTGGGAGCGTTGCTAATTGTAATTGTTCGCGGTACGCGCGAGATTGACTTGCTCCAAATATCTTTTTTTTCGCTAACTCCACACTCTGGAGAGACACACACACTGCGTGTTGTCGCTCGTTGTTCGAAAAAAAAAAAAAAAATGAAACGCGGAGGCCCAGGTACGTAGAATCGTTTTACGTTTCCGAGATCGTTAGGGTATCGAGATACATTTTTCTTGGATTCATGAGTGACCTTTTGCTCGTTCTCGATCGCGAGAAATCTCCCGTTCTGTTTCTTTCCGCTTCCTCTCTCTCTCTCTCTCTCTCTCTCTTGGTCTCTTGCGCTTCGGTGATTTTTTTCTCTCTCTTTTCTTTGACTTTCGAGGTCCCGACGCAACCGTTTCTCATGTTTGTACTCTCTCTTTTTTCTTTTTTTTAATATTTTTCGGAAAACGAATAGCAGACTCGCTCTTCAGTACGATCGTTGAAATTACGTCTCGTACCATCATTCGTTTTCTTCCCCTCTTGCGTGCAGTTCGAGACCTCTTTCTCTTTCTTTTGTTTTTTTCTTTTTTCGGAAGGGCCGCTCGGCAAAGATTTCAAGTATTGGCTGAGGATTCTGGTACGGTTAAACAAACTCAACGCGCGATCGTGCGTTAAGTAAATTGGACTATCGTCTTCTCAATGTCCCGTGTGAATTCCGTTTTTCTCTCTATTTCGCTCTCTTCTCTAAACCCCCCCCTGTGTTTATCCTTCCTCCTCCTTCTTGTTTCCTCTTTTTCTCTCATTGTCCCTTTCACACACGCGCTCAGACAGCCACGCACTCATTCACGCGTATATATATACTTCTTTCTATTATAGTTCGTTCTCGCTTTCATCGACTCTCGACATATTCTCACCCATCCATTCTCTCTCTCTCTCTCTTTCTCTCTTTCAGTTATTCTCCTACTTATATTATCCCATGATACTTTTTTTTTTTTGCTACGTCTTGCACTCAAATAAGTTAATTAGTAAAAAATCGTTTATTTTACTCAAATATTTTGCCTACGAGCGCGAGGTCGCGTTTGTTCACGCGAGAAACGCATGTATATATTTATATATATATGTATATATATGTGTGTTATATATACATACAGATATATAACATATATATACATATATATATATAACGCACCTATGTAACATATTTCAATAAGTTCTTAAAAGCTAAAGACCGTGTGATACAGATAATTATCTAATACACAGCGATTCGAAGCGTGGTTTGTTTTTTTTTTTTTTACTTTTCTTCCTCTTTCATTTATCTATTATTCGAATAGCGAATGTGGTTCTCATCGTCGCGAAGACTCTGCGTCTTTCGTTACCTTATATATCACTCTTCCGCGTTTACCCACTACCAGCCAAGTGTCTCGACCATTTGTTTCCTATTCTCTTCGTCACATCACCCTTTCTCTCATCTTCGTCTCCTCTTCTTTAGTTCATTCACGCAGCGACTAACTCACGCACGCATCACCGATTCTTCCCAGTCACACCTTTCATTCGCTCCAGTCTCTCTCTTTCTCTCATGCTCGCGTTCCATCAATCTTAATCCTCGCGGTTTCGCGTCGAATCAGGTACTCGCTATCACCTCTTACCGTTTCGATTCACGTCACACACGTCCATACGTTTCTTTCTTTTTTTCTTCTTCTTTTAAATTCTCTCTCTCTCTCTCGGGGCCCCGTTGTTGTCGAAGCATCCTTCCATCGAGGAGAGCTCGAGCCGCTGTTTCGACCGTTTCGTTAGACGATCGACGCCAAACTTTCCTTCCAATTCGACTCCGGTGTGAAAACGACCGACGAAAGGAAGGAACAACATCCTGGCCAACGGCACGGCGCCCCGTTCCTCTCGTTCTCCGAGTTCCCTTCTTTGCCTTGGCCCGTTCGATCACCAAATTGAACAAGCGAGATCACAGGAGAAGGAGAGCGAACAGAAGAGGAGAAGAGAAGAACAAGAAGTAGAGTTAACCGCGCGTTCTTGACCGAGCTGCTCGCGAGAAATGGACATACAGATCGGCAGACAACGGAGAACGACGGTGCTCCTCGTCAAGGAACGAGAGCGAACGGCCAAGGAGAGGAAGAGGAACCACCTGGAACGAATCTTCCCGTCTATAACAAGTCGATACTCGGAAGAGACGATCCGGCGGGCGCCGACCATCGTTGCGAGCTCTTACAATCCAGCCACGTACGAAATTCAAACTACTGGGCCTGACCACCAGAGAGCTCGTAACTATGGTCGCTTTCACAACTTATACAATACATGTATGTATATATTATGTACGTCGATATCGGTAACTAACGCACGTTCCATCTCGGTCGGACGAAAGGGGTTTACGGCGACGGTTTCCGTTGTTCCTTCTTGTCCTCGACGATTGTTTCTCTTCTTTCTTTCTTTCTTTCTTTCTTCGCTTCGATTCGATTGTTCCACACTCGGGTGTGTGCGATCGACGAACTGACGACGAGTCGCCGACGAGTCTTCCTCCTCCGTTTGCTAAGAAACCTGCAGGTATTATCCTCGTGGTGGATTGCCTGGTGGGTCGAGTGCCACGCACTCGGAGATTGAATAGGTCGAAGTGGTCGTCGGTGCGAAAAAGGTCAAACGTCGAGACGCGTCTGGCTGGCAGAAGACGATGACGATGATGATGATGATGATGATGATGATGACGATGATGATGATGGCTGCAGCTGCGGCGATAGTGTGGTAGTGGTAGTTTCCCTCGTGGTGGTGAACGGTGGCCGTGAACATCGGCGACGAAAGTCGACTAATGGTTCGCCCCGTTAGTGACCGGTAAACACGTCCCGTTCGTAGCAGTGGATAGCAGAGTAAAAGATAACTCACAGTGGAATAGTAAGTGTGGTTGTTTTTTTTTTTTTCTTTTTGGTGATTTGGCGATAGAGCGGTAATAGCGATAATAGCGATAGTAGTAGAACAGCAATAGTACCGACGATCAGTGGTAGGTAGTGGTGGGTGATAGGTGGTGGTAATAAACGGTATTTCCTTCTTTTTGTTTTTTTTTTTGTTTGGACTGTGTCTCGAGGCAGGTAGTATTCAGATATATGTGTGAGCAAAAGGAGTGTGAGACGACGCAGTTTTGTCGGACGGGCCGAGGGAGGAGTGTTGTGGATTGAATGAATGGCAGGATGGGTGGCGGTAGATTCTCGTAGAGGTGGGAGGGGAGGAGGAAAAAGAGGTGGAGGAGGAGGAGGAGGAGAAGTTGGTACGTAGAAGTGGTAGTTAATTAGCTAGGGTTGCGAGATAATTAGGGACAACGCAGCTGGGGTTAACACCAGCGGTACGGCACGGCTCGAGGTCGATCCGCACCCTCCTTCACCAACGGCTTGTGAAACTCGCGACCTGGCCGCGAGTGAATCGTCGCCCAGCAGTGCTCGCAATAGTACTGCAACAACAATAAATTGAGAACGCCCGTTTCGGCGCCGTTCGCTTTCAGTTTCCTCCGCGGTGCTTCGTGGCGCGCTTCGTGGTTGTCTCGTTTTCGCTTTCGTTGTTGTTGCTGTCGTTGTCAGTGTTTGCTGTCTTGCGAGGTTCAGGTATACGAAACGAGAGTATTCGAGCATGCACGAGAGCTTTTACGTGTGTTGTTAAAATATTTTGACAACAGCGTGGATATTTTGAAATTTTACTAAGAAATTGTGACAGAATCGTCGTGATTATAGTGGTAAAGTATGAAATCAGAAAATATATTTATATATATTTCGCAGAGAACTATCGACGATTAAATATCATCCATGTAATTTTTCGGTTTCAAGTTTCACACAGTGGATAATAATAAAATTTCAAGATTCTCTATACAACACATGTATAACATATGCATAAAAGTCCTCCGACAGTGTTCGAATACTCGCACAAAGGGGAGAGAACAGCGAAAATATAATAAAGAAGACAAAGAATTTACCTGTAGGCAGGTAACGTTCGCGCAGAAGAACGGCGCGAATTTGCCTCCGCAACGTTGCCCCTGACACTCGTCGCACATTTGATCGTCCAGAACGTACGGTTTGACTTCGACCTAAACAGCACAGAGAGAGAAAAAGAAGAAACATCAATCGTAAAGAATCAAATCATCGTTGAGCAATATTAAAGAAAACAATTATACTGATTCTGACAGATGCAACAATAATAGAAAAAAAAAAAAAAAAGAAAGAAAGAATCGACTCGTCACGCATAGATTGTGAGAAATGTAACAACGACGCGACTTACTCTCTTGTCTATGTCGCCGTGTTGCAACTGAACGAATCTGGCCGATATGGCAGCTATGTAGCTTTGCTGATTGCTGAAAGCGACCCTACCGGCTCCCTTTGGATACTTGAGTTCCGGATCAGTATCGATACCGGCGTAACACACGCCTCCGTAAAGTCGATCCATGATCATTGCTAGTTCAACGGCTTTCAACGGCCGTGGTACACCACCGACGAACACCGTCTTCCGTGGATCCAACGGCATCGATGCGTCCAGCACGAAATCCGCGTCGCTCAGTCGCCATGGTCGGATTTGCACCGGCTTGTCTTTGGTCGTTGGCGAGCTCACGCACAGATATAACTTCTCCTCGTCTTGGATGCACGCGTCGATCAACTGTTGCACGGACGCCTCGTCCTGTCGACAAAGAATACACCAGAATCAGTATCTAGTAGAATTTATCGTTACATGAATGCTAATAAATATCTGTGCTAACACTAGTATCAATAATGTGATATACTAATGTAATACCAATATTAACAAATGATGTTAGTTAAGTAATAAAAATCCACGGTACACTGGCTATTATTTCTCGATCTAGCTATTATTGTCGATCGAATCTCCCGTTTTCATTGCGTCATACGCATCTGTTGTAAAAATCGTACGTTATTCATTAACGAAACGAAATGAAATCTCCGGCGAAACCGCGGAACCGAGTTTATTGATGCAGGACGCAGCGCGAGTTTCACGTTTACCTGGAAAAGCAAGAAAGCGTAGCCCTTTGGTGGAAAGTAGGATTTACTCTCTGCTTTGTGGGGCCAATCGACGACCAACGATCCGAAACGACGGAAACTGGCTTTGATTTCCTCTGAAACGAGACAACAACAAGGCGTTAAGGAAGAAATATATTCGGCCATTTGTTAAATCCGTACTCGAGTATCGTATAGATTATAGATAATCCCAAATGCTTAAATACTTGGTTGGTTAGTTACTTCCCAAGAGACTAACATATATTTGAACATTAACATCATTATAGTTCGAACAGATCAACATCAACATTTATAATGAATAAATACGTTTAAACGCGAATGTATTCTTGATTTTTTTGTATGGCCTTCATTCGATATTAAATTATTCAGATTGAAAGAAGGTCGAGCCATAGTCTATTCTCGTGGTCACAAATCAATCGTCAGTAATTCAGAATAAATTTAATAAAGTCTTCGAAAGACTTTTTTTGAGTCATAGTTTAAGTAGAATACAGTTAACCATGTTAACTACCATTTAATATTCTTACTTTTCACTGTATTAAATTACTCTTTACACACTTTTTACCACGTTATAAATTCTCCGTATCTACAATTACATTACGATCAATCAAGTGACGAAACACAATTCTTATTTATTTTGTCGTTCGACTAACATACCAGAGGATGTGACTCAGCGTGCAAATCGAGCCAAATGTTAAAACGAAGTTGCGGACCGCTTGTGACACGATCATTCGCATCGAACAGGGGGAGAGAGAGAGAGAGAGAGAGAGAGAAACAGAAGAAAAAATTCAGAGTAGTGGAAGAGAGGAGCTCACCTTCGTCGATGTCCGGTGGCAGACCACCAACGAACACCTTCCTAGAGAAGCGTTCTCCAGTCTCGCTACCTTGACTGTGAGGACTGCTCCGACTCGGCGATGAAAGCGGCGCTGTTTGAGAACCGGTTATGCCGCCACCGACGCCGACACCAACCCCGACGCCCACGCCGACACCGACGCCGACACCGACTCCGACGCCAACACCCACTCCCACACCGACGCCAACCCCGACGCCATCGAGCTGGCTCGCCGCGTTTGGATCCTCTAGCAGCGTGCCGCTCTGGTCCTCCAAACTTGGGAAGAACGGTGATTTGCCTGCAACGAGAGATCCGCCATGTTTATTAACAGTGATCAACTACATGCCGTTAAATATACAATTACTTTAGGATTTTTAGGATCTTTAGCACTGGTATTATTGGACACTGGAGATCATAACACAGGATTTGATTATATGACGTAATCTAGAATTTAATTACGTTTCGGGATTAAATTACACATTTGTACAAATAATATATTGGGGCCATATTTGCGGGCAATTAAATTAACATTACATTACATTAGATTATATTTCAGCTAGGGTTATAACATAGGTTAAATTATATTATACAGGTTAAATAATAATATTATAACCTATATAACCTAATTATATTCGGTTAAATTATGTTTAATTTTAATTAATAGTGCCGAGTGAAACTACTTTTGTATTTTTTGAACGATTCAGTGATACTGGTTAATTATTCTTGGTCGATGAAGCAAACTGCTCAATATTGCTCACTAATTATACACAGAAATCGAATTAAAAAAATGCCATAAATTCAACGATGTTATTTCATTTTCGTTTCTGATACTGACAAGCTTCTTTTTAATGTTATTAATATGATTCTTTTTTTTTATGAGAAACGAAAGCTATTATAATTTGATTATATCGAACAGAGAATTTCTCCTTCTCTCTTATCATTCAATATACCAGAGCGAATAGCCGTTTCGTCCATTGCTCTTATCGGAGTCCCCTCGAGGAAACACGATTGCGAATATCGTGCTCTTCATATAAATTTAAATTCTTAATCTGCAAAAAGCTTCGCTTGGAAAATAGATTAAACTTTCTAGAATCGAGTTAAGTTGCAATGAAATACGAAGTTGTTCGCGTTGGTTTATTATTATAATCTGGGTCAAAACTTCATTAAAAATTTTATTTTCGCCGCTGCAGTCGAAATTTCCAGTTTCGAGAACAAATGTCAGATATCCTATATAAATTCAAATCTTCAATGTGCGAAGCGTTGCTCCGAAAAATAGACGAAAATCCACTCAAGTTCTCTTCGCGATTACAAGTTGAACGAATTAAAATCTCAATAGGCTCATAAACGTTGAACATATGTATACATCAAGCAATCAAATTCCGAATATTTGCCAGTTTCATACATCACGTTCTTTTAGAAATTTACACTTCCAGCTACAAACACGATATAAATTGACATCCTTGTGAAAATAAATTAAACCTTCCGGGATTTAACTCTCTCTAAATTGCACGAGCTAACATTGTCACCGACCAGGGATATTTTTTTATATTACATCTTATTTTATATTATAAATTTTACGAGCTAACGTGTCACCGACCAGGGATATTTTTTTATATTACATCTTATTTTATATTATAAATTTTATATTATCGAGCTTCGTCCATTCTTGTAATCGAGATCTCCACTTCGAGAAAGTTACAAACATCCGCGCTCTTCACGTGTAAATGTAAATCGTTAATCTACAGAGCCAGAATGATCTCGGATCCTCTTTCAATTACACGATTAAACGTCTCCGTATTTTTCAAACACACGAGGAGAAAGAAAAATATATATATATATATACGCGCGTACGTGGTTTCTTCGACGTTACACGGAAATAATACTCGCGATCGCAGCCAGTCATAACCTGGATATCGTCGAGCGTCACCGCGTAGCGACGAATCTTAACGCGTCGTGAGGACGCGCGGCAGCAGAGGAGGAGGACGGGGTTAGGAGAGAAATCGAGGCCGATTGCCTCGGCCGTAATTTCGATTCTGCCCGACGATAGGGAAACAACTCACTGTATCTTCTTCTGACCGGGAATCTCGCTCTTCTAATGAACGTCGCCATTCCTGGCGGCGGAAATCCCCTCGTTTCGTTACGACGAAATGCAAAATTCTCGCCCAGGCGAACGCGACCGCTCGTGGTTTCTTGCTACCGCGAAAGGAGAAAACAGAAAACGGGGGCAAAATCGCGAGCACACGCAGCCGAGCGGAACAATCGAGTCTTATTGTACGATCGTCATTTTTCTTTTCGCATTTTGCCCCGGCAATGATCGACAGTTCTCGGCGCGAAACTATCTTCGCGGTTTATCGTCGCGCTCGATGGCGACAGAGTCGATCGTCAATTCGTCGCGTCGAGCTATCGTTTCTCGATACAGATCCCTGTTACACGTGTATTTGAATATTTTGTTTTATTTAATTATGATACACAATGCGAGTATTTCTGTTTTATGGACACGAATATAGACGTGTAACAGGGTCTTATCATAATTTTATAAATATGACAATATGAATATATTACATTTGTACTACGTATGTGTGTACATTTATGTTTTTTCTTAGTTTTTAACCTTGTTATGTTCTTTCAGTCTATTTCAGTATAGTTCGTGTACGCGTAAAAGAAAGTTTCATTGGCACGCGTTGATCTTTCGTTTCAATTTTATGAAATTTTATGATTACTCCCTTAAAAACTTGCTCTTTGCTAAAAACATTGAAATATAAAAATTCAAGGATTATTCAATACTTAATTGTTGTAATTTAATACATGTATACACGTGTATTAAAATATTTTACGTGATTATGTTATTAATGTATAAGAGCATGTTAATTTACTAGTTGATATATACGATATAATATACAATTTTTTAATATATACAACTTCCAACATCATATATTTGTTATATATCGTACAAAATAAACGTATAAAATAAAATAAAAAATGCATTATGAGAATAGATTAATACAATTAAAAACAAAATACTTGAAATCGTTAATACATTCGTACCATACGTTCTGAAATTGTGTATTTCACCCACACGTATTCATGTTCATATTGTACGTGTGTGTATCTTTAATACATGTTGAAAATCGTGACGATAAAGTGGAAGGAAGGACTTTGAACAATTCTCGGTTAGGTGGATAAGAGAGGACACATCGTGTCCATCGCGCTGCCTCGCCCAACCCTTCGGTTTTACCCGTTCCCGGTTTGGTGCAGTATCGATTACTCGAGCTAGCTCTGCAAGGGCCTCCAACAGCCCCCGGTTCTTGGCGATCTCCTATTAATCAACGTGGCTCACGCCAGTATATTCTCACACGGAACTTGCTACTTTATTCTCTTTGATTTATCAACAGCCGTAAGAAATTTCCCAGCGCGTAAATATTGAATAAATCGGACGATCAGGGTGGGAAAAGATGAAAGAACGAGTTCGTCGGGCAAGCATTAATACGATTACCGTTCAACTTTTAGGAATGAGATTCTTGTAAAGGTTCATTTGTTCTAACAAAGTGACACGTCTTACTTAAGGGGATGTACATAACCTGAGCAATAGGAAAATATGAAGTTTGCGAATTTTTTTGGAAAGTAACTATTAAATAAAAAATACCAATTTTTTTGGGGTGTATAGATGTGGCTTTCAAGTTTTTATTTCGATTTTTTAAAATAGTAAATTATTGAGAACATAAGATTTGTTTTAATTTATATCAGAAGTGACAAAAGTGAAAAATGAATCAAAACTTTTGTCGATTGACTTCGATTAACGATTCGGATGATCGTAATATCATTTTCAAACTAACGAACCAAGGAATTAAAATTTAATTATTATTACGAAGCTTTCACCAAAAATCCAACCATTTCATCCGCAACGATCTAATAAATGAACTCACACTACAAAAACCGATTATACAAATTATACATTGTACGAACGATTCTATAAATTACAAGTTATTCTCGAGGAATTTACGTTCAGAAGTAAAGGGAAAGATTTGCATTTCAGCCGCGGCAGAACTGGCACACGCGCACGCAGGGCAACGTATCGATTAGAAGATTTTAAGTCGTAAAGTCCTTCCTCTTCCTCCCCTCCCGATATTCCTCGTCAATCATCCGCTAACACCGACAGCAGGTTTGATCGCCGAGGGTAGAACCTTTCGTTTTCGACGCGTTTTCGAGGGATCGAGGCGCGCGACATGCTCGCCTGCCCCGCAAATCGCAGAACGATGTCACGCGAGTTAGGGGAAACCACCTTGGGGACCACCTCCCTTTTCTTTCTGTCCTTCTTCGAATGATACCTAATACGCTAACGAAAGGCACATTACAATAAAATGAATTTTAGCAATTTTTGTCAGACCACGAAATAAATTGAAAAGTGAATTTAATTTCTAGCGCTTGGATCATTTTCTTTAATGTCAACTCTTGAATTCTCCTTGGATACGAAGTCTATTAAATTTTCAATGAATTTCAATATCGCCTTGAAATTTTCTTGATTATGTAATTCCAGTCTTTGTATTTCTTTATATTACTTTTACATATGAATTGCCGTATCAGTACGAGTTCATTTGACACTGTACAAATATACACCGCATCGAAGTTCATTTTATTTAAACAGCATTTACCAACAAAACCTCGAACAAACATACGTCGATCCTGCGCAAACAGGGAGTCTCGAGTTTCTGCTTCCGCTTTGCGCGATTTCGTCTTTTCTTCTCTTGTTGATCCATCGAGATTTTCATCACCTTTTTTGTTCTTTCGGTTTCGCTTCGTTCTTCTTTTAGAGAATTTATAAGAGGGCGATGCCGCAAGAGAATGCAAACAATATGTGAAAGTGTACGAAGCATTGAAATTGTACTGTTGACCTTAATGACAAAAGTCACTTATATTCAAAAGCGAAACGTATCCTACATATAGTGAAATTATTACGACACTGTTTATGATATTAAAGAATGTAAATTTCATATATTTGCGAGGAATATTCAAAAGAGACCTGAATATTTAGTGGAGGAGACTGTTTAGGTTCCATTTCTTTGATTGCATTCGTAAAAATATGAAATTTCACGAAGATTTGTGGTCTCCTCTGTAGTCACAAAAGTATTCGTGCATTTTTCGACAAGTTTATTTTTACTGAAATGAAATTGTGTATCAAATTGTTTAATAAACTTCTTAACTCGTAATAATTGTTTTATAAAAAAAAATGCAGATTAATTAATTTATATTTATATTTACGATTCAAAAATTTTATACAACGTATAAATTGTAATTTATATT